AATTAGCATTAAGTATGGTCTACAATTAAATTACTGTTTATAAAGCATCTTAAAAAACTTGTTTTCAATCCCATAGTTATGAATATAATTTCCATATGGTTTGACATAAAGACATTTTTCAGTGCCTGCTATACCTTATTTTCAGTCCAATTTGGGGCAATAAAAAATTTAAACCAGGTGCGTTAGATGCAGGATTCAACATATGGGCAGAGAAGGGATTTAGAAAGATAGCAGATTTATTTGTTAACAATATTCTAATGTCATTTGAGGAAATTGTTAGTACATACAGTATTCCTGCAAAACATTTCCTTAAGCATTTACAAAAAAGAAAATGTATCCTCAAATCACAAATTTCTGCATTACACAAGATGATTGTGTCAGGATCAAAGGAATCTTCAAATTGTAAATTGAAAACTTGGAGATTAGATCTTAAAAGGACTGGATGAAGACATGCAAGAAAGCTCAATCACTAAATGAACACTCGTCTAAAACTGCTATTATATAAGTGGTTGATGAGGATTTACATAACTCCAGTTTAATTGCATAAATACAATGAAAATTTTCCAGATACTTGTTAGAGATGTAGAGACCTTAAAGGAACACTATATGACTGTATGTGTTAATGTAAAGGAATACAGAACTTCTGGAAAGGTGGAAATGAAATGATAAAAAAAAAAGATTATTGAGGTTATTATAGAGTTGAAATCAGAATTATTCGCACTGCTTTGAATTTTTTGTATGATAAGGTTTTTTTTTCTTCTGGAGAAAGTCTAGTTTTATTTCACCTAGAATAAAAGCTGATTTAATTTTTATTAAAAATCATTTTAAGGTCCAAACTATTAACCCCTTTAAGGTATATATATACATAACCGTGAGACCAGTATAGGTTCACACCTCTAATATATATATATATATATATATATATATACATATATATATACATATATATATATATATATATATATATACATATATATATATATATATATATATATACATATTAGAGGTGTGAACCTATACTGGTCTCACGGTTCGGTTCGGTTACGATTATCATGCCTTCGATTCGGTTCAATTCGATATTTCGGTGCATCACGGCGCATTGACAATGCTTTCCATATACAGTGTTATATTTTAGAGGAGAGGTTATAACAAGCTGTCTGTATAAACACACAGACACACAGCACCACACTGTCTCTCATTTAAACACAAACATAGACAGCACCAAAGAAACAAACACACACACACACACGCACACACACTTGAGCCCTCGCAACAGGGAGAGCTCACGAAGAGCGGATCAGAAAAACAAAAAAAGAAAAAAGAAAAAAATAAGCACTTTTCCGACCGTCCCTTGCTGAGAGCTCCTCTCAGCGCGAGCTATCCCGGCTATACACATATTGTGAGGGCTTAAACGGAGCAGTGCTCGTAGTGTGGAGCAAAAAAAAGAAAGACAGCTGTGAAACATAACCAGCTTTGTCTTTTTGTTGAAAACACTCTTTGGATCTTTTTAGGGTAAGAGGTTTTTGAGTTATTGCCATCTGTAACTGAATGCGTGTCAAGAATATCGAAAACAAAACCAACTGAACCGCGCTCATTTCTGGCGCCCTCCTGGATATACAGCGCCCTTAGCATTTGCCTATGGTGCCTATGCCACGGACCAGCCCTGAGTTGGCTGAGTGTTGTAAATACTCGCGCTCACCTCCCTCGCGACAGAGAGCATAGGAGATAAATGACGTCAGTACATAATAACCGGTTATGGTTATTACTGAACCGATACCGAATTGTCCGCGTCTGCATCACGGTGCACCAAAGAAACAATTAATTTTGACACCCCTAATATATATATATATATATATATATATATATATATATATATATATATATATATATATATATATATATAGTCTACAGACTAAAACATTATTATACAATAACTATATAATTACCCTAACCTGCCTGGTTAACCTAGTTAAGCCTTTAAATGTCACTTTAAGCTGTATGGAAGTGTCTTGGAAAAATATCTAGTAAAATATTATTTACTGTCATCATGACAAAGATCAAATAAATCAGTTATTAGAATTGGGTTATTAAAACTATTTTGTTTAGAAAAGTGTTAAAAAAATCTTCTCTCTGTTAAGCAAAAAATGGGGAAAAAATAAACAGGGGACTAATAATTCTGACCTCAAATGTACCAATGTCACCTTTTGTTTTTTATTTCTTTTATATTCCAAGGAGATTAAGTTAAAAAAGATGGAGCATATATTTATGAATATATGTATTCTGCAAGCGAAACACCGTATTTTATTAAACTGGAAAAGTATATTTGCACTAAACATAGGCTGAAAGAGATGGTAACAAACATGTCAATGGAATAATACATCAAGAAATAAGTACATATTTTGATAGAGTTTGGGAACCTTTTATGTTGTTTTTAAAAGATGGTGTATTTGGAAATGTATTACTAGAAAATTTGTAAAAGAGGTGATATTGTATTCTGATGTGAAATACGGAGGAGCCTTTCGTTTTGTTTGTTCATTTGCTTGCTTGTTGGTTTGTGTTATACAGTATCTGGCTCATGGAAATGTTCATGTTAAAATATAATAAAAAGTAATTGGAAAATAAAAAAAATAAAGAGACAAACCAAAAATAGATATTCCATAACTTGGACAAAAATAAGTACAATTTAATACAGCAAAAAGTTTACCTGCAAAGAAGAGGTACAGCTCCATCCTGGAAAACTGCAAACTGAAAGATTTTCACCAGGATCTCCAATGGTAAACTCTGACCCCAGTGATCAAAACGGTCTGTTTTTGCACTGTCCATAACATCATGTTTATCATCAGTTTCCTCTCTTACTTTGAGGACTTCAGTTTTTACTGGAGCTTTTTCCTTTTTGCTAGTAGAGCCTTTGGTCTTGGCTTTTTTGTTAGTCTTTTTTTTCTTACCCACCTTCCGCTTGGGTTTCCACACACTGTCACCACTGCTTATATTTGATATGATCAAAAGCATGTCCTCTCCCTCCTGGACGGTGTAATTTGGTCTTACAGTTCTTTTGACGGGTTTTCTCTTTTTCTTTTTGCTTTTGTCATCCTTAAGAGAATCAGCTTTTCTCTTCAAAGGAGCTTTTCTCTTTGCAGGTTTGGTTGGGGATGTTTCAGCTCTGCTAGACTGAGCTGCTGACATTTCTGCAGAGGAAGCCTGCGCTACAGTGCTTTCCATTATGATTTATATCTACAACTAACGTTAGTACCTAATAAATGCAGCACTGAGCATAAAAGATCGCCATGAAAGCAAAATACACAAACTGTCTACATATACAGACAGTTCATTAACTTGACAATCGCTTCTCTTTATTACTGTATAAATTCAGCAGCAGATTCACTGTAAATATAGAGATTTGTGCAAATTTAGTTTACGTCTGTAGCTCAATTATTTAAATTAAAAACAACAATAAACTGAACTGCCGCCTTGCTCCTTTGTTGTTATTATCCGAGTCCCAAGATGCACCTTGGTCAGTAAATGTAGTCATATCCGGTATAATTCTCAGTGAGGAAGCTCTGCCTAGAAGTTAGCCTGTCCGCTTAGTCCACTCTAGTTTGGAGTCATAGATATTGACATGGTTTGGAGTAAACTTTTTAAACAGAATATTCATTGCACTAAAAAAGGATAAATTAGAAATAACTTTGACATTTTGCACGCTGATATAGACGCAAACGTTTTGTATCTTCATTAAAAAGTTGCACAGGTCAATAAAGGCCAAATATTTTTTTTAAAGTTATGGGATGACATTTCTGTTTGATTAAGATTAAAATATGTAATACATGATTTAGATTTTTTTAAACTATAAAATATTTATCTTTTTGTCAGAAGCTGATCTGTAATTTTTGGTTAATATTGTGACAGTGGCAGTTATGAGACATAAAAAAGCCCTTAAACTATGTAGTCTGTTAAAGACATTTCAGATGATTAATCCCTTGCATTATATTTTGCTATTTATTTATATTTATTTGTTTTTATTTTTATTATTTTGTTATTTTATTTATTTATTGTGGATGCTGTTGTTTGGACTTCCTAGTTGATTAAGATGTTGCTATGATTGGTTATTTGTTTCTTTCTGTATGTTCTTATGAGGAATTTTTAAAAAAATCTATCTTTAGTAAAGACATTTTTGTTTGTTTCAACTGGCACCTTTTTATCTATGTTTTACAGTATATCATTTACATAAAGTAGATCTGTGAGAAAGAAATTAGAGTAAAATATTAAAAAGCTCATATGAAATACACCTTTTGTATTAAAATAGATTTTTGTCAATATGGGTAATAATAACGGGTTTCAGTGAGGACATTTCTTTCCTGAAGGTTCTAAATGTAGGTATTTTTTAACATAAGAAATGAGAGTAAAATTAGCTTCAAATGTAAATTCAAATTAAACAAGCTCTTTTTTGCAATCAAAATGTTTTCTGTATTCTGCAAAACATAAAAAGTGATAAAAATAATATAATTAATAATAATACAAATAATGATGATAATGATAATAATAATAATAATAATAATAATAATAATAATAATAATAATAATAATAATAATAATAACTCATTTCCCAGTACTGCAGCTGGAAGGGCATCCGCTGCGTAAAACATATGCTGGGTAAGTTGCAGTTCATTCTGCTGAGTCGACCCCTGATAAAAAGGTACTAAGCTGAAGAAAAATCAGTGAATGAACAAATGAATTATCCTTTAAAATGCATGTTAAATTAAAGTCTTAATATGTCTACATATATCGTTATTACAGTGACTTAGACTCACTCTTTTTGCATTTGATCGAAATATTCTTGAAAAAATACTAATATATATATATATATATATATATATATATATATATATATATATATATATATATATATATATATATATATATATATATAGCTAAAACTACTGTAGTAGTAGCAGCAGCTTCAGTTGCACACGTGACTCAAATAGGAAGTGCATGATGTAGAGTGGGTGCTCCTCCGTTTACATGATCTTTATTGCCGAAACGGAACCCTGACTCTCTCTCCCTCCACAAACAAACTGCAAAGGGTCCAAAAGACAAAAACAAGGATAAACAACACACCTACTACATACAAAGCAAAGCACAATCGGTGAGTGTATTCTGAGATTTCACATAAACTCATTATAATTGCTGTTTTGTAAAAGCATGCCTTACCATTGGCGCGATTGTATGAATGCGTTGAATGTTCAAGTTCTAAATAGGTTTTTTCTTAATAACGTTCTTTAAACCAAGGGTAAGTTAGTTCTCTTATCAGAGATTAACACAGACATGTTTTCAGACTTTACAACACGCAGCATCGACTTATTCTCGATTTGTTGAAAGAACAAACTGAGAAATTATAAATATTTTAGTGTTCAGTCGGATATTTAAATTGTTAAAACCCAAACAAACAAGGCTTATCGGTCGATTTTATGCCATTATAACCAAATAACGTGCAACTGTTACCTGCTACGAAAAGCAACCGCGTGCACAAATGGGGCGTGGACATTTTGTTCATCGGTTATACAAGGTTAACGTTAACTAATAAATTGTCAGTTGACACAATATGTGACCTGACCTTGATTTATCCTAGTAAAGCTAGCAATGATATACATGACCTTTTACACCACTCTTCAACTATTATTTTTGTTCAAATTAATTCTACTCATCCAGCTTACTGCAACAGGTAATTTTACTTAACATTACCAATGAATCCACACACAATGAATCCACGTGTTTTATATATATATATATATATATATATATATATATATATATATATTGTAAGTGCTGCCTGTTACTGTTACCACAGTTCTATTGCTTTGTGTTTATTAGTTATAATAGGCAAAACCGAATTTGGTGTAAATTAACCATTTAACTAACTTACTACAGAACTAACTTAACCTAAAGTATACCAAGAATGTGTTTAGTAAATGTGAATGTTAAAAAAAGCTTAAGGTGAATACTGCTATAATCATGTAATACCAGTATCAAAACAATGGTCTCACAAATAACATATTTACCACAGTAAAATACTGTGAGGGATTATCCTTGTTGCACGTTAAGCTTAGCTGTGGACTACCATGCTATGGTTTTTATTACTAAAACATTTATTTGGCCTTTATTTGGAAGCGTGCTTCTCCAGATGGTTTAAAAAAACAAGCCAAGCCACTTTGATGCTCAATTATGGAGGACCTGCAAGACTTTGGTTCTTCTAGTGCAAGTGCTAAGACCATTGCTGCTGAACTCAGTGAGTATAACTTTTTACTTTGTTTTCAATCACCTAAAATCAAAACAAATAATTTTTAAAAGATGCACTTTGAACACAGAGAGAATATAGTTACTTTAAAATGTCTCTTACAGAAAAAAACACATGTAAAATAAACAGATTTTGGAACATATTCATGTGGGAAAATAAGCAAGTAATCAGATTTATTTTCACATGAAAATCTTCTAGAACTACACATTTCAAGTGTGTTTCTTGTGTGTTCTACATATGATTTGAACATATGAAGCTTATGAGACTCATCTTTTTCTGTAAAGCATAGGTCTCAGACTCATATCCTGGAGGGCCACTGCTCTGCACAGTTTTACTCCAACCCTATCAAACACGGCTGATTCAAATATTGAAGGTGTTTACAACTCTTTTGAACACCTCGATTATTTGGATCAGCTGTGTTGGATAGGGTTGGAACAAAACTGTGCAGAGCAGTGGCCCTCCAGGAACTGAGTTTGAGACCTATGCTGTAAAGGATATGTGTTTATTTAGACTTTTGTATGTATATATGTGCTGCTGGTGCTTAATTCAGCTATGTTGTTTAATGTCTTCCAGAGGATGATTTTTACTCCAAACTTGTTGATGACTTCCTTGGCGCTCATTATGGGGATCTGTTGGAGCTAGATGGAAAGAATTGGAAAAATCGCATGTTGGTGCAGATTGGGCTGTTGAGAGAAGAACAAGATGTTTCATGGGTTGATTTAATACAATGGCTCCAAAAGATTATCCCAATGTTTAAGTCTGCTGATTTCCGAAGCTTAATTGAGAGAAACACGACTACAGCTTTGAGCCTTACTGGAGATGCTAGAGAGAACTTTTTTGAGTCCGATGTCAACTTTGAATTTGTTGGACCTATATGTGATAGCATCGGAATCGGAAGAAGAGATTTGCTTGAAATGTCAGACCTTTCAGATCGTGCAAAATTAACTGCTCTCACAAATGGCCTAGTTCTGGAATTGACTAACTTTATTTCACGGGAGAAGTTAGACCCAGTCGTTTTAGTGTCCTGGATTCGTAACTTTGAGCCTTTATTTTGTAGTGATGGTAAGATCCAAAGGGCCTACAAGCTCCTACGTGGGAATCTCAGGATTTTCAGAATGCAGTACCGCAATAATCAGAGGAGCCGTAAGAGAAGCCGTGGATTGCTGGAAGAGTTTCTTCAGAGTCCGTTCGATCTTTCTCCTGAAGCTGATGCTGATGATGTTGAATACAGGAGGGTGGCAATGAACAAAGCACATCTGAAGAGAAAACGGCGCATGTATAAACATACTACTGCAATGAAGGATGAAGATGAACACTTCAATATTTCACAGATAGATGTTACTGTGAAAACACATGAGCCAATGCGGCATGAACCAATGCAGCATGAACCAAAGCAGCATGAGCCAAAGCAAATGCCTCATGCAATGTTTGTAAAAAAGGAACTGGGATCACAGACCCATCAATCCCAGAACCAAAATCCAGAGGAAGATACAAAAACCGACACAGGTGACAATGTCACGCTTCTTGATATCGCTGTCTTGTCTTGGCAAAAGATGGCAGGCATATATGGGGGACCAAATGAAGCTGCTAAGGTGGTTTCACTGGATCTACTTCAGAATCACTTTAATGCAATGCTGAAGAATGATGATGATCTGAGATCCCTTGATGAAAAAGTCAAAGCAAGCACTCATCCAATAGTCCCACCTTTGGATTTTCTGCGCTACATCTCCCAGTTTCTTTTTGAACTTATAGATGTAACTGAGCAGCAAATGATTTCGTTCGAAAAAGATATAGTGTTTACCACAGCCGAGAAACTCGGACGCGACAAGCACCCCAGATTCCAGACTTTTGTCAACTTCGAAGAGAGTGCTGTGACTCGTTACATTAATATGGCATCTGAAATGTTATGTCCAAGTGATGTGACCAACCCCAACTACCGCAGACTCTGGCTTGCCTTTTGCCTAGAGAGAAAAATCCCTTCAAGTCTGCCTATTTATCGGTCAAATCGTGTGATTAACTACTTCGAGGCAGCTGCTGGACTCATTCATCATCATGAAGAAGTTGCTTTATTTGTATCCGACCTGCAGCTTCTAAATAACAACTCAAGCATCCTGTTGGACAGCATCAATGCTGATGCAAACGATAAGACTTTGCAGACTCTGGTCTGTGTGGTTGCCATTATCTACCTCAAAGTCTTAGGTCCCTTTTGGCAACTCTTAAAGAGCGATGGAGAATATCCTTTTTTCAGTAGGTACATCTTTTGCCTCTATGACAAACTCCTGGAATGTTCGTTAGACACGAGTCGCCTTTTGCAACCGGAGAACTTTGTAAATGTATTCTTACAAGCTCCAATCCAAGAGGGGACTTTTGCAGGAGTATTCAGATTTTGCAGAGACAATGCTGACAACCAGTATGGTACTCTCTTGAAGACTTGTTTACAGAAGATGATGAAAGCCCTTGCAGCAGTAATGGAGGACAATCTGAAAGATTTCTTACCTGGCGGCAAACACTGCAAAGATCTGCCTGGGGATATAGCTGTTCAAATGGCAAACTGTACATTTTTACAGCTGATGGGGGAGTATCCCTTTGGTCACACATACCCATATAAGAAAAAACGGCCTGATAAAGCTGTCAACCAGACTGAGGGTTGCGCTTCTAAAGAGGCACAACAAGAACCTGCGTCTCAAAAGGTGTCAGATACACCTACATCACCAGCAGCCTCATTATCGCCTCAGAAAACCATTCAAATGCAGCAATGGATATCGAAACCCTACTCCATCATTGAAGGTGCAAATCTAAAAAAAATGAAAGCATCTAGACTAAAGCAAAGAGCTCAGGGGCACATTTATAGGAAAATGATTATTGGAACGATTTCAAAGTATGGCGGCCCATGTAAAAGCAAGCAAGATGTTGAACGATTGCTTCAAAAACTGGAAGGTGCCAGTCTAAATCATAAACGTGAGGTCATCCGCTCTGAGCTGAACTACCAGAAGAGCATTTCGGGTTCTAGAGATAAAAAGCTAAGTAACATTGGCTTCTCTTTGAATGACATGGTTTCTACATTGAAGGACGTCTTACCAAATGACAAAAGTATCGTTTCACCTTCAACTGAAAATGTGCTTGATCACTCAACAGACCCAAACTCAAGCATCGCCTCCAGACCCTAAAAGCACAGCAAATGGTCAGAAAAGTCAAACTGAAGAAAAATTGAACAGTACAATTGACATAAAAAAATATGTTTGGGACATGCTACAGGGAGAATTTTGAGTTTCACTGATTGTGTTGATGGAAATGTTGAATACAACCTACTTGCATTAGCTTCTGCTTTTTTATAGTAAAAAGATTTGTTCTCAGATGTTACTAACAGATTTGTTACTTTTGTTGTTGAAATTAGTGCAATAGTGCATTTTATTTTGTCAAAATAGTGCATTAGTTCATTTAGCGATTTTTTTTTTTATACATTTCTTTGATAGAACTTTCTTCACGAAATAAAAGCATTTTGCAGCCTACTTGTCCTGACTTTTATTAAATATTAGTTTTAATTTTATTAGTAATTATCAGCATTACTAATACAACAATAACTGGTAATACTAATTATATACTATTGATGTGCTATATTAAAATGTTTATATTTTGTTCTCTAGATATTAGAGTAGTACAATATATGTAATATTCTAGAGTTGTGTCAATATGAATTGAATAAAATTTGTTTTAAATTTTATTTTGCAAAAGTTCAGCATTCATTATAGATCTATTTACAGACACACAGTGCTGAGTAGATTATATAGAAATTATACTCTGTTCCTGATTACAGAATACACAATGGCTGATGTTAGTACCATTAAATAGGTTACTTTATTTAGGTAATGTATTCTGACTATTTGCAAATTAATGTTTCATATTGTTGTAAAAAAGGTAGAAAGAAATAATGTTTAAAGTTTTGTTTATTATTTTTTATCTTTATCGAAAATGCATTACACATTACACTAGACCAGTGATTGCAAAACTGGAATTAGCACAATGAGAACAGGAAGATTCATGATCATCGTTATCGTTTAATAAAAAATAAACAAACACTTAAGCACTACATATATACATACAGTTGAAGTCAGAATTATTAGCCCCCCTGTGTTTTCCCTTATTTTCTACCCCAATTTTTGTTTATTGGAGAGATAATTTTTTCAACACATTTTCAAACATAAAAGTTTAAATAACTCATTTCTAATGACTGCGTTATCTTTACCATGATGACAGTAAATAATATTTTGCTGGATAAATTTCAAGACACTTCTACACAGCTTAAAGTGGCATTTAAAGGCTTAACTAGGTTAATTAGGTTAACTAGGCAGGTTAGTGTAATTATGCAAGTTATTGTATAACGATGGTTTTTTCTCTTGACATATCAAAAATAGCTTAAAGGGGCTAATAGTTTTAAACTTAAAATGTTAAAAACTGCTTTTATTCTAGCTGAAATAAAACAAATAAGACTTTCTCTGAAAGAGAAAAAATATTACACATACTGTGAAAATGTCCTTGCTCAGTTAAACATAATTTGGGAAATATTTAAAAAAGAAGAAAAAAAAAATCAGGGGTGCTAATCATCAACTGTGTGTGTATATGTATGTATGTATGTATATATATATATATATATATATATATATATATATATATATATATATATATATATATATATATATATATATATTTCATAGTATACCTACAGGTCAGTTTGGCCATTAATTGATATCCGAATACTGAACATGCAAATGTGTTGTCATATATTTTTATAGAAACTATAATTTAATTACTTTACTTTTACTTTATTTATTATATTAACATCTACATGGTTGTTCTTTATTTTACAAATCTAAATGATCTGGCAAAGTAAGACATTTACAGTTTTTCTCAGTGGCTTTGCTTTGCTGTATTTCTCACAACACTATTTACATTTAACGCATTTCTCAAAACATATAGTAAAAACTGCAAAACCTAGCTGACAACCTGCAAAAGCGTGTTACTTGCTCAAAATGGATAGTTCATTCCTCAAAAGCAAGTATTCATGTCAATGAAAGTGTCAGTGTCATCAAGATGAAAAGTCCTGACACCTTTGTTTATGAACAAGATAGTCAAATGGTTTTGTCATGTTTTTTTTTTTTTTTTTTAATATCAGTTTACTCTGTACATTCTTCCAATGCAATTAAAGTCAGATTTTGGTGAAACTTCCTGAAAATGCTCAAGACAGCACTTTATATTATTTGCACAGCCATTTGAAAACCACAGTAAAGTTAGACATCACTGCATTTAGTGGGGTATCTGAGTAAAAGACACTGAATATGTATGTTTCACATTTTTACTGCATTTACTCATTACAATCCTAAATTATTCACAGCATTGTGCAAAAGGATAAATACACCCTTATTTACATTTAACTTGAGAGCGTAAATCCTTTATTAATATTAGAAAAGTATGATCATATAAATAATTTTACATATATCTATATTTTACAATGGACTTTTTACAATAATAGCAAACATCCACAACAGAGTTTTGGAAACAATGGAGATGTCTTTTATCCATCAAGTATTGATATTTACAGTTAAAATCAGAATTATTAAACCCCCTTTGAATTTTTCCTTTTTTTTAAAATATTTGCTATATGATGTTTAACATAGCAAGGACATTTTCATAGTATGTCTGATAATATTTTTTCCTCTGAAAAAAGTCTTAATTGTTTTATTTTAGCTAGAGTAAAAGCAGTTTTAAATTTTTTTAAAAACATTTTAAGACCAAAATTATTAGCCCCTTTAAGCAGTTTTTTTTTCCGATAGTCTACAGAACAAAGCATCGTTATACAATAACTTGCCTAATTACCCTAACCTGCATAGTTAACCTAATTAAACAAGTTAAGCCTTTAAATGTCACTTTAAGCTGTATAGAAGTGTCTTTTAAACATCTACTAAAATATTATTTACTGTCATCATGGAAAAGATAAAATAAATCAATTATTAGAAATGAGTTATTAAAACTATTATGAAGTTGGGGAAAACAATAAGGAAGGGGGGGGGGGGGTGGGCTAATAATTCAGGGGGTTAAATAATTCTGACTTCAGCTGTACATTAAATAGTTATCAACATTTAATTGAAACATTTAATTTCAGTTTGCTTTTTGTAGCTCAAAAATTAAACAAACTAACAAATGGTTATGTTCAATTAGAATTGACAGTCTCTGTTCAAGGCATTTGCCCCAACCTTCCCCATTATTCTACCTCTCAGATGGGATAGCGGGCCAAATCAAAGGTTACCATGGGCCAACTTAGACCCGTGGGCCCAAGTTTGGGCATCTCTGCTCTAAATGCAGCCTCCTATGTTTATGCTCAGTTATTTTTCAGGCAATGGCAATAACCTGTTACTTGCTACAAAAGTTAAATGAATGAACCTGCACATGGGAGCCTGAGAAAAATGCAAAATTTAGAAGAAAACTTTAGAAGGCACCCATACGGTTGGCACCCATAAGGTTTTTTGTATCTGACGTAATGTATACTATAACTTTAACTTTGTTTTCCAGACACATAAATGGCAGATACATGGTGGAATCATGCCATTGTCACACACATTCTTGTGGCCCTGTTTGGAATGGGCTCATGGATCTCTGTAGACTCAATATGGGTTGAGCTGCCAGTTGTCGTAGGAGTTCTACCTGAAGGTATACATTGGTTTAAGAGCATGAAAGCAATTTCTGTTTTACCCTGACATCTGTAGAACTTTAAAACATGTTCTTTCTTTACAGGATGGAATTTGCCTGCCTATATTTCAGTTCTGATTGCGTTTGGGAATTTGGGACCAGTGGTTGTCACTTTAACACACCACTTTGCTCCAGGATGGCTGAATGAGCGATTGGCCATCCACATCATACAAGCGCTAGCAGTGGTAGCATCCGCATTTCTTGCTCTATTTTGGTCCCAGGTGGCCATGGTCTCTGGAGAGCTTAGATCTGTCCCATTCCTGCTGCTTACTTTTATACTGTCATTATTCTGCTGCACTTCCAATGTCACCTTCTTACCCTTTATGTATCGGTACCCTCCACAATATATCCGGACGTTCTTTGTTGGACAAGGTCTCAGTGCACTCTTTCCTTGTGTGGTCGCTTTGGGACAGGGTGTAGGGAAACTAGAGTGCATTGAGAAATCCAATGGCACAGAAGCCCATTATCTCAAAGAAAACTTTCCAGCCCAAATTTTCTTTTGGATCTTGACTGTAATGCTTGTAATTTCGGCCACAAGTTTCCTAGCTCTGACATACAGAGTGGTCATTCAGGCTCCAGCAGAAGAAGCTCCAAAAGCTAAGCAGGAAATGGGGAACACGGAGGAAGAGACCCATCCTTTACAAAATGGAGATTCTCCAGTTTCTGAGGAGCAAGTCGAAGTTGAAAAACAGGCTCCCGTTGTGGCCTTCTGGACATCTCGCAATATCTACATGCTTCTTTTGCTGGGAATATCCAATGCGTTGACCAACGGTGTGTTGCCATCTGTACAGAGTTTCACCTGTCTTCCTTATGGCAACATGACCTTTCACCTTTCTGTCGTCTTGGGAAACATCGCAAACCCTTTGGCCTGCTTTGTGGCCATGTTTGTCATACTAAGGTAATTGAGCGTACTAAGGTAATTCCCATCTGAGTTCCTAGAGTACCCCATATTTACAAAATTGCATACTTTGAGTAGGTCTTACATTTGAAATGTTCTTCCCAAACTTCCCAACCATCAGAAAATTATGTTTTTTAATATCAATAGTAAGTAATTATTGTAAGTAATTATTGATATTGAGTAATATGAATGGAATTTGAATGTACTACATTCACTATGTAGTCATTATAAAATGACCTACAGTAACTGCTTCACATTCATTTATAAACTCTCTCATGTGGCCTCATGGGATAAGAATGTATGCATTAGGTGTGCACTTTAGAATCTCAACAAGAAATACAGTGGAGGGTCACCTGGGTACTTCACATCTACTGTTTTTGAATAATAGGATTTTTTTTTTTATTATTATTACTTGGCTCACATATTATTTTTTATATACACTACCTGACAAAAGTCTTGTCATCAATCCCAGTTGTAAGAGCAGCAAATGATAACTTGACTTCAAGTTCAGGTTGGAACAGTGGCAGAAAGTAGATTTTTCCTATCAATCATCTATTAACCTGCATCTCAGTCATCACAAATACTGCAGAAGACCTATTGGAACCTGTACGGACCCAAGATTCTCACAGAAATCAGTCAAGTTTGGTGAAGGAAAAGTCATGGTTTGGGGTTACAATCAGTATGGGGGCATGCGAGAGACCTGTGAGAGAGTGGATGGCAACATAAACAGCCTGAGGTATCAAGACATTTGTGCTGCGCAATTACATTTCAATCTACAGAAGAGGGCACTATCTTAAGAATATCGCTCCTACTTATACTCAGAAAGCAAAGAAGGTCAAGGTGCTCCAGGATTGGCCAGCCCAATTACCA